TGTGCTGTAGGTCGGCGGTCCGGAGAGGACGGCGGCTGGGTCCAAGTGACCTCTGCACTAGTGTCACACAGTTTTTATATGTTTCATACGAGTACGCTTCACACCTTGCCAAAATGATGGCTTCAGTCAGTGGTTGATTATTTGAAGATTGAGGTTTATACATAACCTTTTTTCTGCGTAGGCAGCGTTTATACATGAGGCCCCTTGTCACTACTGGTAGCATAAGGCGGTACCTGCAGTCCATTCAGATTTCACAGGTAGTCCAGCTTCTCCAGTATGGCACCTCCATACATACGGTCACAAGAAGGTTGGCTGTGTGTCTCAACACAGTCAAGAGCATGGAGGCAATACCAGGAGACAGGCCATTACACAAGGAGAGCTGAACAGGGCCGTATAAGGGCATCAACCCAGCAGCAAGACCGGGATCTCCTCCTTTGTGCAAGAAGGAACAGGAGGAGCACTGCCAGAGCTCTACAAAATGACCTTCATCGTGCTACTGGTGAGCATGTTTCTGTCCAACCTCCCAGAAACAGACTCCATGAGGGTGGCATGAGGGCCCAATGTCCTCTAGTGGGATCTGTACTCACAGCCCAGCACCATGCAGCTCGATGGCATTCGCCAGAGAACACCTGAATTGGCAGGTCTGCACTGGCTACCTGTTCTCTGAGAGCAGGTTTACACTGAGCACATGTGACAGACATGAAAAAATAAATAAATCCAATATTTTAACCCTAACCCTTGAGTAAGGGGAGGTCAGTGTGCATGTGTGGTGTAGAATATGTGTGTGGTAGAAGAGGGAGAGAGACAGAGCAGCGGTGATGTGCAGAGTTGTGCGTGGTCTGGGACAGCCCTAGTTTTAACATCAAAGAGCATTGTCTGAATATAAAACCAAGGTATCAATTACCCTGACCAGAACTACACCAAACCCTAAACTTAGCCATCTCTAACTAACACAAGGACTGCTACTCTAACATGACAATTCCAATCAGATCTTATATAGATTTGTAAAAGATTTTTGGTATTGGCCAAGCACCTCATTGTTTGCATCACACTACAGAACAGATGACTGAAACACTGTCACATCTTGAATGGCAGCTATGCTTACAAAGGAATGTGCATAGCATGTCATGACAGAATAGCTGACATCATAGTTAATGAAATATCAAACCACTCTCAGTAAAAATGTACAAACATTCTTGTGTAAACCACCCACGTTTCAGCATTGCAATAGTAATGCTGCTACTTTCTTACACTTGTTTGGTAATACACCAGCTGTTGTCATCAGTGAAGTGTCTGGTGAGGTGTTTTTTTCATTTTGGAGGTAGGCTGCAGCTTTGATTCTAGCACTGGTTTATGACAAAGGTCATTAAATGGCAACCACTCCTAAACACCTTCTCAGAACTGGGCTACAGGTGCAGACTACTTGTCTTCATACTTGGCAGCCTAGGACACACACACACAGGCTGGTCGTAAGAGGGCTTCAACAACCTAGGATGCCCAAAAAGAGGACAAAACAGCTCACAAAGTACTGTGCTCTGTCTTCTATTATTGGTAGCCTCCAGATGTGATGGAGACTTATACCCATGAGAAATTAGTGAAATGCTTTGTATTGTGAAGACCTGCTGTATGCCACTGGTCCATGATTTTGTGTATCTATTTGACTGCATCTTTAATATTTATCTCCCTGCACTATTTGCTTCCATGTGGACATAAATAAATGGTTAGAGTGTGTGTGTGTGCTGGTCCATGTCCAACATCAGCAGGACAGAATGTAATTGCACAGCAAGTGTGAGCGCTGCCACAGGGCTAAATGATGGTAATGGATCCAGAGACCTTCCATTATGTGAACTGGGAGGACAGGCGAGACAGAGCCCGGTACAGACTGAGCAACATGCTGTTTGACAGACACAGATGCTGCTGGGCTTATATGATGTTGATAATGGAAGAATCCAAAGTACAATAGTTTCTAGATAAATTCTATCTGAATATATAATATAAAAGCGTCAGCTAAACAAATAAATGTAAAATATATGAGTTTAAACTTCACTTTTAAATTCACATGACCCACAACAAGGTATTTTAATTCAATTTAATTTATATAGCGCCAAATCATAACAGAGGTTATCTCAGGCCACTTTTCATATTGAGCAGGTCTAGACTGTACTCTATAAAATTATTTAATTCCCAACATGAACAGTGGCCTTTCTCCATTTTTTAATAGTGCATAAAATTAAATGTAATTCCACTAATACAATACAAAACTATACATATTAAATATAGATACTTACTATAGGATAGCTACAGACATACAGTGCTAGTCAACACTGTCTTTTGTATTTGGCCACTGGTTCTCATCCACATCTTGCCTGAATTATCCCTGGCAATCTACTGCAGACATGTAGACAGACAGTTGTGACACCATTATTCCCAACTCTTTGTCATCATGCCTACTTGCCACTTGCCGATACGAGTGCCATGGCATCGAACATAATGAACCCGAAGCTCCACATGGAAGCGGGACATGTCAGCACACATGTTTTGTGCTGTACCTGGTTGCAGGCAAAGGAGGGATGGGCAGTTCTTTCTTTGCTGCTGGTTGCTTCACAGCCATTGTGTTTGCAAAACTTCTGAAGCAGAGCTGAATATATTGAGTTTGACTGAGTGAGAGCATACGCCAGGAGGAGGACTGTGCAGTGTGTGCTTGAGAGGTAATTGACACTACGTGAGAGACCTCTCCTGGCTCAGATTAGTTGTTTTAATTCGGACACTGTGGATTCTTGCAACATGTACGTACCCAGCGTCCCAAGTGTAGATGACACCTACTGTACAGTAAAGTTGTGGTTATAGTACTTGCTTTTTATTTGCTTTTATTTTATATAATTCTTATTTATGCAACAATATACCTTGGCAAAACCCCTTGTAAGTTAAAATCTCCTTGGCAATAAACCTGATTCTGCGCTTTTTGTTTTGGGTGAGAAAGCCTGGCTGTGCTGGGGGTATTGCACAGTACCAGCAAGAACACATTGTCTCAAACTGTCAGCAGCGTTCTGTGTGCTCGTGACATTACAAGTTTATTCTTCCAAGAATGACTAGCAAGATTGTTCTCCCAAGTAACACAAGTCCGTTCTTTGCATTCTTGGTTTTGAGAAACACCCATTATCTCTTTTCCTTTTTCCTGTCAGAACACGTGCCGCAGCATTCTGGATCAGCTGAAGAGTCTCAATGGACTTTTTTGAGCAGCCTGATAATAAGCTATTGCAGTAATCCAGCCTGTAAGTAACAAATGCATGAACTAGTTTTTCCACATCATTTTGAGAAGAACATGTTCCTGATTTTTGCAATATTGTGCAGGTGAAAAAAGGCAGTCCTTGAAGTAGAGTACAGCTAATTCCACCACCAATTCACTCTTTGTTTACCAGGCCTTTACTAGCAACCAGCCTTTTTATGTTTGTGCTGGCAACAGCTAATATTGGAATTCTAGCTTTATAGATGTATGGTATGCACATCCTGTGGCTGAGCGATAGTTTATTCACTAACAGATTTTGTGTATGAAATCAAAGGAAAATACATTGATGAGTAAATTGTTAAACTGACTCTACTTTACAATTTGCTGGCATTTCCTAAAATAAATGAGCGATTTTGTCATGGTCGTATTTTAAACCATACTTTGTGCTAATTTTCACAGATTGTTTAAATACATCTTTTTAGTTGTAAAAGGACAGTCAACTGCAGTACAGTTTTTTTAACATTTAGTATAATATATAAAATGAAATGTTTTTTCAGAGGCCTTGCGTCACATTGTACTTAACAGACCGCTAAGTGGTGTGTGCAGTGTTCAAAAATGTGTGAAGACTGTAAAATAACAATTTAAAGAAGTATTTCTTTACTAAGCAGGCTTTCTGTTTGCCAGGATGTTTGCATATTAGAAACACACAGATGGTTTCAGTTTTTGCTGTGATTTTCAATCTTGTGCCAGCATTCGTCTTTGTTTTTGGCACACAAGCTGTTTCATGGCAACATGGCAGTCAAAATAAGGCTGTATCTTCAGGCCATTTACAGCAGACACAGCGACAGTTCTTCAGCTTGATTTATTGTTCCAACAAAGCAGGACTGTTCTTACAGAAGCTGCATTTCTACTGTGGTTTATTTTAAATCAACAGCAAAGTGCACATACAGCTGGTAGTTGGTGTTGCTTGGTTGTCATGATCATTAAAGTTAATGATAAAAAGGAAAACCTGTCATGGTTCCACGTCTTGTGTTTCTACTCTTCTGCCTTGTTAATTCTTGTGATGATTTTATGTTTAGTCTAGTTCTATTTTCACCGTCCCTGCTCCTCCTCATGTCCTAGTTGATGTCTTAGTTTGTAGTCCTGGTTCTATCTTTTAGTTCTTAGATCTGCTTAATAGTTTGTTGTTTTCCATTTAGATTTCATATGTATTCTGTGTTCTGTTTCTTCCATCCTGGTCTGTTGTCATTTGTTCTGGTTTTTCCACTTGTTAGTCTGTTTTGTCCGTGTCCTCGTCTGTTTCTGACTCGTAGTCTTTGTATGTTCAGCTGTTTGTCTCATGTCTCGTGTCTATGTCTGCCCTGTCTGTTCACTCCATGTGTCTGTGTCTTGCCCTGTTTCCGGTTGTGATCTGAAGTTGCTGTCTGTATCTAGTTACTTCCTGTTTACTTTGATATGACCCACCTGTTTTATGTTTCCGCCCTGTTCGTTTGTCTTAGTATTTTATGCCTGTGTTCTGTTCAGTGTGTGTTGGATCATTGTAGCTGGGTCGTGTGTTTGTTTCTGCCTCGTGTTCCTGCTGTACCTTGTATTGTGGTGGCAGCCCGGCTGACGGTGAGTGTCCTGTTTATTTCTCTTTTTGCTTGTGATTCTGTTTTCCCCTGGTGTTTTGTTTTTCCTGTGCTCTGCCTGCCTCCCTGTGTCTCCTCCCCTGTGTGTGCTCTCTCTCTCTCTCCCTCCGCTCCTGAGCCCAGCCAACGACCCGCACCTGCACCTCGTCAGCCACCTCCTCTGCCTGCCACACCTGCCAGCAATCAGCCTCATCTCTGACAGTACTTCTACCCCGGTTCTCCACTCAACCCCCGCTTGATCATTGTTGTTCCTTACCCGGTGCCACTTCACCACTCAAGCTTGTGAGTATTCTGCGTCATTTCTGTTTTCCTGTACTTTGTTTCCCCAGTGTCTGACCCTGTCTGTCTGTCTCCTCTCCAGGTTCACTCACCCCTGTTCTGTCAGCTGGGCTCGCCACCCTGCCCTCTCCCCTTGGACCTCTTCCATGGCGTCCTCCTGGCTCCTCCCCGTGCCTCCTTACTTCCTCGGTCCCCAGTGCCCTCGGTTCCCTGTGCCCATGTTTCCCCGGCGTCCACCTCTACCTCCCTTTCCACTCCCTCAACCCCTTTTCCCCTTCAATAAAACCTGTTCACCTTGCCTGTTTTTGTATGCTTTATTTCTCCGTGCCGGGATATGGATTTTGTTAGGACTCAACCACTCTCTCTAAGTGTGTTCGCCTTTTGTTTATTAAATCCCAGAACTGAACCTGCTTTGCTCCTGTGTCCTGCGTTTGGGTTCTCAACATGTTCATACACTCCAGACTAACATTGACAAAAAACATTGATACCAGTAAATGCTAAGGCCTCAATAGTGTTTTTTTTTATCAGGAGTGGTGGAAGAAGTACTCAATCAGACTTAAGTAAAAGTACAGATACTACACAAAAATGTTACTCAAGTACCTGGTTTTAAAAATACTTACATAATCAAAAGTAAAGGTGCTACACACTCAAATATATTGATCTTACAAAAAGCAGCCTATCTTTTCAAATTCACTCAAGACAGGTTTGAATACAGCATTAGAAGTTGTAGTGAATACCAATAAGGAAAATTGATTCGCACAATGAAGTGGATATTTCCTATATGTGGGGAGGATAAGTCTGCATTATTGCTCTGCTGGTGTGGTAGTATCCCCTTCAGACTGTCTGACAGACACAGAACCCCATTTGGGACTTTGGGTATGTTAAAATGAGACAAGGAGGCGGAAACAGAACTATAACGAAATTATTGCCGCCTTCATTTACACCTAAAACTAAAACACAGAGGGTCTTTGGTGGGTTGTTAAATGCATTCTTATAGATGTAGGAAACTGAAAAGAAGATGAGGCAGTTTGAGGGAAAGTGGGCATAATATAATATAATAAATAATATAAATACTCAAATGCATCCCACTGATGACAAACCATACAGTGTGACTGTACAAACTACATTCATTTCATATCAGAACAGCTACCTAGGCAGTTGAAAATGTGACTATAAAAAACAAAAATGATTGAAGTTGAGTATCATCTAACTGGTGGTGGAGTACATGTCATCCTTTTTACAGTAACACACCTCTGAGTCTGAAGCGCCCACAGTGTGAGATAAAAGGCTGAGTACAGTCATCCATCCGAGTCTGGGTCAAGGTAGACTCTGTGCTGATGTTTATAGACCAGGCTCTGATGGAGAGCTCTGACTCTCAGGAGCCCCAGCTCATAGACAGACTTGTGTAACTGAGAAATATGGTATGACAGCTCACTGCTCAGAGTGCAGGTGAGGAGGAGTAGAGGAAGAGAGAAAACCTACAATGATCTGCTGATGAGAACAGTTAACTGAACCGCCATTTTTATCTGACTGTCTCTATTGAGTCTGCATTGATGACATTTATTAATTTGATGCTTGGGCAGATATAACTAATACTGAATATGTGAAGTCACTTCTAGTTGTGTTTTGTAAAAACTCCCTAAAATGTCATCTTTACTTTCTTCATGTCCTCTGGAATCAGTTACTGACAAAAAAGGATACTTGGTCTGACAGGAATCACAGAGGGCTTAATTTACTTTACATTTCAACCACCACAGATTACTGAAATTGATGTCTTTCAACATTCCTCACTGCTTCCAAACTTACCTTTACTTACTTACCTTTCTTTAAAATCAAGATTTTTTTTCTTTTTTTAATTAAATGAATGTTAAAGCTGCATTAATCAATATTTTTGCAATCACAAAGGAGTGAAAGGTGGCCATGTGCCTTAAAAGTTGAGAGTGAGAGTTCATTCATGCTGGGAACAGCAGCACAGAAATATGTGTGTAGATGCACTAGCTGAGATTCTACTGTAGCACACGCGAACAGCGCCTATACTATGGCTATGAAAGTTATAGTGTACTCTCCAAGTCATTAACTTCCTAATGACAGAATGTTCTCTATGTAAATGATCCACTTCATGTTCTGTGCTGTTGGATATGCAATGAAGAGATTTCATCGGCACCAATCCAGCACTCACATCCACAGATAAGTAGCAGAACCAGATTAAAGTGATCCATTTCACACTATATATGAATGCATTCTTACCCTTTCTCCCTGGCTCTCTCTGATCTCCTCACATGATGATAATGAATTTCATGCACACCACAGGATGAGACAGGATCTCAAATCTAAAATGTGGATGTTTGGAATTAAGGATTATGGTAGTGTGGTGGCCATACTGCAGCTGCTGGCCTGGCTGCATTTCAGTTTTATCCTCCATCAACCCCTTGCTGGGAGCAATTTAATGTGTCCACCCTCCGAGATGAGGCAAGGCACATCCCTTTGCTTCAGAGTCTTTACTGAGCACAGGCCCATTGTCTCTGCCAGCAAGCAGCATCCAGCCGCTTGCACTGAGAAGTCTCTTGATATCAGTGTGCATGCACATGAGGATGATGATGAAGAGGCAGCCCAGTGGCACTCAGCAGCACACCAAGGATCAACTATCAAAGCACAGCTCTCTCCTAGTTCGACAGATCTGCTGCAGGATTCCTCAAGAAAAAGGCTTTGTCACCACTTGACCACAAAACATCCCTGAACTGTCTTTCTCTCATTTATTCATTCCCTTTCACACTCATCTACCAGTTGTGTATCTGTGCCAGCAGTATGTATCTACTTATGGCCCTGACCTATGTTGGATAACACAAAATGTATTAAAGACCCTTTAACAAAACACGTGTTTTTCATGTTGGTTTATCGACATATGAACTGAAAACAAATGTGGTCTTTGGCCATGTTTTTTTCATGTAAGCTTTTCACATCTGAACTGTAAGCACATGTGAACACATTCCTACATGTGAAAATTATACATGTGAAATGAAAATGTGGTTTTTGGACACATGTGTTTAATGTTGGTTTTTCCACAAATGAACTGCAAGCGCATGTGATTATTTCATGTGAACACATTCCTACAAGTGAAAATCCAAAAGGTTTCACACAGTAAAGCGGACGTCCTACTGATCAATCCAGAGCTGCACCAGTGTGTCAACATAGGCTAGTTGAATCTAACAATAGGCATTTGTTGGCAGGTTCAGGCACCAAGCCGAAACTAAATTATTTTATGATATTTATTATGTTTTCTATATTCTGACCAACAAAGTTTTCTGCATTTATTGGCTATAATAAATTAAATAAATATGTAGATGTTGCCTAAATGGCTAGGCTATACATGAGCATATACCCACAGATATACACACAGGAAAATATATTAAAATAAAAGCAATCTTACATACATGCGTCCATACATATAGTAATCATTACTCTAAATCGTTTATTCCTTCCACCATTTGGTTATTAAATTCCGACGGTAGCCACTTTAAGTAGGATCTTTATCAACAGCTTACATATGTTTGTTTGTATGCAAGTCAAACTACAGATCAAAATCACACTCAATCCACAGTGCAGTAGAAGTAATTAATGTAATTAAATAGCATTCTTTGGACCTGCAACTTATCTAAGAGAGAGAGGAATTAGACATGGTATTACTTTATCACACATTTACATGAGCAGCTGGATAGCATTTAAGTCACAGCCTACAGAAGAACTCGGTCTGGCCTAAGTGAATTCCCATTTATTGTTGATGTGTCTAAAAGCTAACATTACATTGGTGTCGGAACTGTTGGACCCACTCACTTTTACTATCTGAAATTCCGCGTATCTGTTTGTTCACCTTTCAGAGATGGATCAAATCTATTCCACTTAAGGAATGCACTAATAAATTAAACTCCATTCTACAGCCGTCACTTTCAAGCTGCTGCTTCTTCCAATTCATTCCACTCAGCTCATTTATATCATAGAAGTTAAACTCCATTCCTTAGTTTCACTGCTCACGCCTACTGCACTGCCGTGACACAGCAAGGTAAACAAAGCATTTTAGCATACCTGCTGCTCAGGCGTGTCTTTGTGCTCACATACTAAAGCCACTTTTTAAGTGAATGTTCATCATTTGTTCACTTGATTCTTTAAAAGGCATCATGTAGTCTTTGTTGCAGCATTTAATTTAAGTTACACTTACGCTTTTTTGTTATAACACTTATAACAGAGTTATCTGACATTTTTGCTAGGCTAGCTAGCTACAGTAATGTTAACATTAATCGACCAGAGTTAGCAGCTCTTTGAATCCTGGTCAATGATAGAGGCTAGCTGTGGTACCTGTGCCAAATCTGATTCAAAAATGGACTGGACAAAAAATTATTGCATTTGTGTTGACTCAGCAGGGATGATATTATAAGAGAAAATTGATCTACAGGAGAAACATATCTGAAAGCAACACAGAATAACAGAGCTTCACAGACTTAAATTTTGTATTGTCACCTGCCACCTGGATTTTGTGTTTCCCTTTGCATAAATAAAAACATTTCCGCCAAAATTTGATGCAGGAAAGACAGAAATTGGTGCAGAAAAAAATCACCAGAATGCAGAATGTTAATGCTCATATTTTCGGGGGGGTGACCCCTAACTAACAGATTTCAGGATTCATGATAGAGACTCTATTGATACTGTATACAAAATATAAAATAGTTTTAAAAAACATTACATCTTGTTCTCTTTATATGTAGATATAAAAAACTTCTGGAGAAGGACTCACCCAATTTTATTTTGCTTCCGACGCCCATGTAACCTCACAGTAACTTTTGTTCAACAGAGGAGAAATGGAAGAACAGAGCCTGTCTGTCGCTTTTTATTTGTTAACATCTTGGCTTCTTCACTGGTTGTTGACATAAATGTAGTTCAAATACAGTAACACAATATACGGGTGCAAAGATTTCACAAGTGCAACGTAAACATACCCTGGGGGCTAAGCCCCCCCACTGTCTGTCAATCCTAGTGACATCCCTGCAGCCTAATGCAGGTTGTGAAGCCTATACCAAGATGTCCCTGTTTGCAGACACATAACTTGTGTGTTTTTTCTCTTATTTTATGCAGTTTTAGTTAGCCAAGCAGCAGTGTGGCAGACAAATATTTTATATATAATATTGTACCCATTATATTAAATTCCACCATTCACCATTATATTGTATTTATGCAGATAATATGCTTCTCCATTAGTAAACTTTGTTTCCTCATATTCTTATGTTGCGGAATTTCCGGGTTTTGATG